TACGTCCTCTTAAGATGGTTTCTATGAGTCGATTACACAAGTTTTGGTGTAATTCCTATAAAGACTTTTGTCATCCTACGAGTTGGTGTGAAGGAGAAAACGTCCAATGGTGTTCCACGTCCAAGTAAAAGTATAGGTACACGAGAGGTCATGTCCAATCGAGACACAATCGCTACGAACGAGTTACATTGTTTCTGGTATATTGCCAGGTTTTGTTCAACACGTAACCAATATCTATCGTTGCCAATATGACTATCGCGGACACCGCACTTTAGGTCGGGGGTAAAGTCTAGTAATTGTAGTATTAGCCGTCCGGTTTAGACCCTAGTGCGAGGCAACATGGAGCGACACACAATCTCCTCTACATCCATGCCTCCTTTTTCTCTCCCTAAACAAAAGACTGCAAAACACTCTAGGGCAACTGTGTGTGAATAGCATATTTCTGTAGTCTTTCCGTTAAAACGTACTATCCTGTGGAAATTTTCGCACAATTCAGGACTCGACACTTACAGAGTGCAGGAGTGCGTCCCCGGACTAACCCTACTACCTGTTCCGAGCCCGGTTCCTGTGTAGCAACGTGCCTTCGGCAGAAACGCCACCCGTGTGACACGACGCGCGTTCCTAAGGTGTGTAGTCACGGTTGACTTCTCTTCTGGTAAACGACAAAAATCCTAACAGTTCCCAGAAATGTTTGTTCATCAATAGCCGACCCGTATTACTCTTTATCATAAAAAATTTGAGTGTCTATATCTCGACTCCAGGCTCCTGGGTGACTCCGGTCTTTCGACTTCTGACGAGGACTCCGGCGCGACGGGTGGAGGCGCTGTGTGGTGTACCGGACCTTTGTTGTCTCTCTATGTGGTGTCATTTGGTCGTCACCGCACCTGCATTGCACAAATTTTAGGCGATATTGAATTTATATTGATATGTGTACTACCACTCAGTATGTTCGATGGTTGGTAGACAAAATACCGACTTATTCTAGTCTACGAAGAGGCCCATTCTTCATGGATTATCATATGCCTGAAAATGAGTTCTTTACAATGTGTTGCAACTGACATATCCAGGATATTGTGAATGACAGTTTTTCTGAAATTAGTGTTTCATTTTCAGCGACGGTTAAGTTTTACGAATGAGTACATTTTCATGTTTTCATTAGTAGTCTTTTTACCGGAAACACACAATATATTGTAATATATATTACTATTTATTTATATGTTATGTCCGTCCTGACAGAGTGCTTTTTAATCTTTCTAACACTATTTCAAGAAAAAAAAAATAAAAAGACATTACGTAATTTTTTTTGTTTTACAGTATGTAAGACCTAAGTAATGTTTAGTTTGACTTTATAACCGTTCCGGAAAATAATTAAAGATTATTAACCGACTAATACCGTATGGTCGAAATTCTTTTGAGGTTTTTAGGATTAGAGTTTTTTATTCTTATCAAGGAGGTCTGGTTCATTCTTTTTTTTCTAAATATTATTCGTTTTGGTTAGTTTGTAAACTGTTTACAGCGTAATTCGCGTGAGTCATCGGAACCACCCTTAGGAAAACCGTCGCCTAATGACGTAGTTCGGCCGGCACCGGTACTCGCCCCCCGTTAGGTCGGACTCCGGGTAACGGACTCCACAGAATACCTACGGCGCCAGAAGGTTACGCCGGAATGCGAGTAATCGTAACAACCCAGACCACAGAAAGTCCGAAGAAGAAGTGGTTGATGGGGTGTATAAGAGATACCCGCAAGTCCAGTCCCTTAAACGGTCCGGTTTAGCTTCGTCATTACGGTACCAGTCATTGTGGTCAATGACCCCCAAAACCGTGACGCACCCGTCCACGGTCTAGTACGGCCTTTTCTTTGAAGTGAGTTAGAGGTATCTCCGAAAAGTCCGGGGTCTTCCGCTTGGCCTTCGTACATCAACGGAGAATTTTAGAGGAACCATGTGTCGACGTAAATGAGACCTGAACTACTTGTGTCACCTGGTTTGGGTCCGTCGGACTTTTACCGAGGGGGCGTTTTGGTAGCGACTGACACCCTTGAAGTGTGACCTAAAGTTCCCCCCCCCCCACTCTTTTCTTTTTTTAAAGCTAAGGACCCAGAATCAGCACTTCTGTAACAGGGCTGAAATAGAGGGGTATGAGGCATGGCTAGAGATCTGTTTGGTATTCTGAGCAAAACTCTTCATAGACATGTTTTTTTATATCCGAGAGCTGTAATAGATGCCTTCAATTATTATAATAGGAGACCTTTAAGTGGGAGAATTGTATCGTTTAAGGCTGTCTTCCTGTTGTTCTTAAAGGTGGACAGTCTTCTCCCGCGCTTAAGTGGGAAAGTGGACGTCCTTCTCTTCAACCCTCCGTATGTGGTGACGCCTTCAGAAGAGGTCTGTACAGCAGGTTCAGGTTGTCTTCAGCTCACAGATGAGGAGCATTTTTTTAAATAAATGTCACTTTTCTCCCAGGTGGGGGGCACGGGTATAGAGGCTGCCTGGGCCGGGGGGGAGCGAGGACGAGAGGTGACGGACAGATTTCTGCCTGTGGTGGCACAGCTGCTCTCCAGTAAAGGGTTATTTTACCTCATTACTATCGCTGAGAACGACCCAGGTGAGTGAACCGAGGAAATGAATATCAGTGCTGGAAACATTCTGGAGAAAAGATCAATATTCTTCTCTTTTTCTCACCAGAGGAGATCATCCGTCTACTGGGCAAATGTGGTTTGAAGGGAGAGGCATGCTTGTCTACAAGAGCTGGAAATGAGAGGCTGTCTGTCCTGCGCTTCCATAAGAGCTAAGGAACAAGGAACTGTCACAAATACATCCTCTGAGAAGATGACAGGAACTCTAAAGTGACTTTGAAAATACAAAACAGTATGGCTGCAAGGACACATCTTTGAAGGATTCATCAGACAACACTTTTCAAGATCAAAACTCAGCATTGTGAAAGAAATGGGCTGGGGGGAAAGACTAAGGTGCCTCTGATGCAGAAAGGAAATGAAACAAATGTCTCACAAAGATGACTCCTTGTATTCAGACTTTTGTTTTAGCTACAAAGACATAGCTAACATACTTCATATAGCTTTACAATTTAGATCAACATTACTTTTTTTATTTCAAGATTTATATTTCAGTGAAAACATTTTCAAAGGTACCACTGCATTGGAATTGAGTTTTAAGTATGGTTCTTCTTTGCACAATAAGTTAAAGAGCTAATGCGACCTTTACCCGTCTCCTTGTGTGTTTATGAAGGTTTTTCTGCATGTAAACGGTCTGCAGTCACAAACCCCCCAGAACGCCTCCTTGGAGACTTTTCTTTTTCCATTGTTGTCTTCCTGGGTACAGTGACGTATTTCGGGAGCGGAGCCGTTACGTTTGGACCAATCCTCGGACTTCCTCACACACACACACACGGCGGGATGTTGCGAGGCTCGCTGCTGCGAGGAGCGGGACACTGTGAGCTGGCTCACTGGTGTGGGGTGTGCGAGACAGCGAGACACCGCGGAACTCAGCCTGCCCACACACACTAACTCCCAGCCAGGCTGTGTGTGTGTTTCGTGCTGGGTTTAGCTGTGGCTCCCTGTCTCGCAGACGGCCACTGGGCTCATAGGGAGCTCCAACAAGCCGTTTAGGACAGAGAGTGAAATACACATACTATACAGAGCATAGGCGGATTTTGCAGGTGTTTAGTGGTTGAAATATGTTACAGCATTACTACGTCAAAAACTGTTCCAATACAAATATTTCAATAAGGTAGGGCACTGGTTAATAATATTGTAGCGTGTTCAAGTAACCAAGGGATATAGTAGTTATCAAATAAGTATAAGATGTGCACAGTTGTGATAAGTTTTACAGTTATGTAATGCACTGTTGTTGGGGGGAGAGACCGCCCCTTCCATATGAGTGTGTGTGTGTGTGTGTGTGTGTACGGCGGGCATGAAGCGTGCATGACGGGATGAGTTGTGTTCGTATGTGGAAAAGTCATACTCAGTGCGGTGAGCGCTGGCTTTATTGCTACTGTATCCGTACCGTAGCACGCAATAGAACAGATAAGCTTTGCTATGTGTTTGGAAAATTGCACAGTATAAATCTATTCTAGTTGACCTCAACAATGGAATTATGATCAGTAGAAATGGCCATGGGACCTTTAAGCATCCGAAAAAACTATGGAGTATGACAATCCAAAAAAAATAGAGGACAGTTGGCATATTGGAAAAGTCAAGTGAATTTCTTGCACTACTCTGACGCCCTGGTACCGTCTCTTTTGTATTATAGAACCAGTTTTAAGTAACAAGTAATTTGTTGTAAAAAGCTTGCAGTAAAACCTCATTAGACCACCTCTAGTGTTGACAGCAGATAACAGGAATGTATTCATCCAGCTGCAGGTATCGCTCACCGAGATAAGTTCCAGAAGTGTAGGGATCTAATCCCATTTCTCTTCTTCATTTTCCCTCAGTATTGTGAACAACAAATACAGCGAAGTTTAAGTTGCTGAGAGCTGTTGACCTAAAATGGAAACATTAGATGCCCAAGGGTGTATAACATTTATCCTCCCTGGAAAATGTTAAATAAACCGACAAGTACTAGAACACTTGTTGCCATGAATAAAAGTAAACTCCTATCTTGAGAAGTTTGGGGATTTATGTACCCCGACATATTGTTCTTTGAGAGCCCCAGTTCCTGATTTGTTTTTACAGATGTCATAAGGAAGTTTTCAGCCTTGAGATGAATGGGGGGAAATAATACTAAAGACTTGGTATTAAAGATACCTTTTTATAACCACATTTCATTATTGCTAGGAATCATCTTTTACATAAATTTCCACAAACACATCCTACCGAGCTGTCTTGTATTTTTTTTTTTATATGTATTTACTCAAGTATTCATTTGATCATATTTTAGTTTGGTTAACATTTTTGACATCTGTGTTTAGAAATGATACGGTTTAAAGTAAGTGTTTTTGGTTATAACCCTACCACTAGGTGGCACCATCTGTGTCATACTAATATCAGTTTGTTGCATACTGATTGCAGCATGTTCAACCCATTAAAACGGGTTGAGTACAGTTAAAAGTTGCAGATTTATATTTCAACATGAGAATGTTTTATTAAGTGTTTTATTCAAATGTTTCACTCGATCCAGTTCGTCACAGTAACAAAAGTGTCAGGTTTCTGTGAAATGTGCCATGGTGACAGTCATTTAAAAACACAAACAAAAAGGTGCTACATTATGCCGTGTATAACTGTGAAATCTCCAAAAACACATTTAATTAACAGTTTTCCCCGTAAACCAGAATATCAAATTCAAAAACAAGTGCAGATATTAGTCAACAGAACAAATATCAATCAATTCAGAGATTAGTACAAAGTGCAAATCCCTTTAAGGGCAATAAAAAGTGTTATTATGCACAGTTGAGATTCTATTGTGAGACAATTATTGTAAACACATTCAGACACTTTCCTTTTGGTCACATTTAAAAAATCGATAATATTGCATCAATATATATTTATATAATTAGCACACTTATAGTTAGATTTGTACATTAATACATACTTTAATGTCTTGTAAAAATTGGACCAAATGTGCCCAAAACAGGGATCGACTCATTTTTAGCAGCATCTTTGGCGCTTGTTGCCAGAGGGGAAGCACCTGATTAGTTAGAAATGTCCTTTTAAAATAAATCTATAAATACAGTATTGTAAGGATCACTTCATAGAAAGTGGCAGCCCTCTTTAGCAGGTTAGTACCAGTGGCTTATTGCACAAGAGCATCAGGGAACAACTCCCCATTGGCACACACCAATAAACTCAGACCTGACATTCAGTCACTCGCATCCGGAAACACACAACCCGCCTTCCCCGAAGAAATTCTGCATAGAATTCAAAATGGATGACATGAGAGATCACTTTGGCCTTTTTGGATAACATTTCTCTACTCTATGCAGAATTAAGGTTACTTTTTGGTCAAACCCATTCAAAATGTCCCCACGGAAGAATGTTGAGTGACCCCAGCCAGCGGGGTTGTCTCCTCTTCATCAGTAGCAGCCGTCTCTCCAGTTGCTGTCACGGAGGGCACTGAAGGTGGTCAAGGTCTTTGGAGGCGTCAGTAAACTGGAAAATAAAATAAGTCTTAAAGCTCACCTATTATGCTATTATTAAAACAGTCTATTGTAGGGCCATATCTATACAAAACATGTCTCTGAAGTGTTTTGCTCAAACAACCATTGTAGCCATGCCTCATACCCACAAGGACAGTACCTTTTATATCCTGCTTCTTTACACATACTCTCTTCAGTACAGGTTAGCTCGGAATTTTAGTGATGCTTTCTAATGTAAACACAGACCATATTACTTCCAAAACACATCGCACATTGTTTCTTATTCAGCAACGTTTCTGGTTCTGGGGCGGAACGTTGGCAGAAGTTCAACGTAAAGCCCGCCCACATTTTAGTAATGTCGTCATGACCGCAGCAAATCTGGATCAGCTCCGTTGTTCCCCCGTTTTTAGAGATGTGGGTAAGGAGGGAAAGAGAGAGGGCACTTTGAGTCTCCTTACACACCGGGGACACATTTATGTATAAAAGACATAAAGTGCATTTTGCATTACAGGTGTCCTTTAAGAGAAGTGCTTTTAGAGAATACATTACATTTTTATAGCGCTTTTCCTGGTGCTCAAAGCGCTTAAGGGATTTACCTTCGTGCTGATTGGGCCACCTTGCTGCGAGGGGTGGAGCTTGATGTGCAGAATAATGAGGCGGGGCGAGGCAGGCTGCTGCGGGCCGTGAGCAGGGTGGAAGTGGCTGCCCCCCCCCCACTTTGAGCTTTACTGATTATAGGGATGCCACTACCCCCCCCGCTGCTTCCACTGCTGCTGCTGTTCAGTGAGTGGAGGCTTGTGGAGGTTGCCATGGAGCCCTTGATGGTGGGACTGACGTAGGCGGTGGCTTTTAAAGTCTGCCGTGACATGGAGGAGAAGTTCCCGACGCTCTGGACTCTGTTCTGCAGCTGGCCTGGGGAGGGGACTGGAAACAAACATTCAATGAGCGTGTTTCTTTCACGATTCAATAAATACAACTAGAAATGAGAGGAAGCGTCTTACTGGAGGACTGCAGTCGAGCCAGCCCACTGGACGAATCAAAACTCTGGCTGTTACGAAGCAAACAAAGGGAAGCGCTAGGATTGGTTGGAATGGGCACACTGGGCATGCTGGGAGCTCGGACCAGGTTAGGCATGCTCCTGCGCAGATAATCTGACGAACACACAAATGCAAATAAAAGAAGTTAAAAGATGCACCAGGGTGGATTTGAATTCTCAAAATACAAATAAATAAACCTTATACTGCTTAGTGTGAGCTGCATGCCTAGAATTTGAACGTTTGTGGCCCTTTTTTGATACAATTGAATGTATGTAGGATTTATGCAGTTACTTTTTGATCAAACCCATATCTGACAGAGACCAACACAACTGAACATTCATGAAGTAAAAAACTGCACTAGGGCAGGTTTTAATCACTCACTAAGGCTCAAGTAGGAAATAAATAAACATTATACTGTTTAGTGCGCCTGTTGCTTTATAACGATCCCTTAAGACAGCACATAAAGCTGGCTGTAACAACCTCAGTCAGACATACAGCCCTAATCCCTTCAAACTCTCTCTCTCTCTCTCTCTCCAGTCTGAGGCTTTGAGGGTGGATGTACAAGAGGCTTACGCAGAGTTATTATTAAGTTGTAAGGACGTCAGTGTGGGTCAGTCCTCAGCTGAGACGCATGATTAAAGAGCAAAGGCGGGACATATCTCAAAGTGAGGAAAATGATGAAAAAGCATATTCAATAGTAATGAATTAATGGGTGCTGGGAGAGTTGGATTAAATATCACTTTGATTTATTTATATGAGGTTAGAAGACTTTAATTTAATTTTGGATTAAGAGGAAAACATGTGGACTTACTCTCATATTCGGCTGGACGCCGTGATGAAGTTTCCCCAAAACAATACGCCCAATAGGCAACACGTATAAACAAATACACAGAAATATTTCACGTACAAAACATATAAACAAAGAGATAACTGATTAGTACTTCGGACAGCAACAGCGGCACAGTTCAAAGAACGCAAGATAAACAGGGTTGGGTTGTAACGGAATACATGTAACGGCGTTACGTAATAAGAATACAAAAATCAAGTAACTGTATTCAGCTCGCGTTACATTTGAAAAACGAGTAATCTGATTACAGTTACTTTCGTAAACCTGAAGTGAATACATTTTGGATTACTTATTGGAGGAAAGATTCTCACAACATTTAATATTCATTATTAAAAGGTACAGCCGAATCATCACAGCGCACAAAAACTTTTACCGCCGCAGATGGACCAAAAAAGGGAACGTTTGAAAAAAAAGGGGCGGGTCCGCTCAGTGAAACAATAACAACGAAACATGGAGGAACAAAAGTCTGCGTTTAAGTCGTGTGTGTGTGTGTGTGTAGAGGTGTGTGTGTGTGTGTGTGTGTGTGTAGAGGTGTGTGTGTGTAGAGTGTGTGTGTGTGTGTGTGTGTGTGTGTGTGTGTGTGTGTGTGTAGAGGTGTGTGTGTGTGTGTGTGTGTGTGTGTGTAGAGGTGTGTGTGTGTGTGTGTGTGTGTGTGTGTGTGTGTATATGTGTGTGTGTGTGTGTGTGTGTGTGTGTAGATGTGTGTGTGTGTGTGTGTGTGTGTGTGTGTGTGTGTGTGAGGTGTGTGTGTGTGTGTGTGTGTGTGTGTGTGTGTGTGTGTGTGTGTGTAGAGGTGTGTGTGTGTGTGTGTGTGTGTGTAGAGGTGTGTGTGTGTGTGTGTGTGTGTGTG